TCTTCAGCTCAAGGCTAGCGCTCTACCACTTGAGCTACAGCGCCACTTCCGGTTTTCTGGTGGTTTATTGGAGATAGGAGTCTCACGGTCTCTCCTGCCCGGGCTGGCTTTGAACCACGATCCTCAGATCTCAGCCTCCTGAGTAGCTAGGATTACAGGCGTGAGCCACCAGCGCCCGGCTTTTTTGGATGGCATTTCTTATTCAGAAAGAAATCTTTCCATATTCAGGAAAGCAAGATCCTCATGATTATCAAGATCCTCTCACATTCTTGTCTGCTCAATTCGCCAGTGTGTTTTCTGATCCCTTCCTCTGCTCTCCCTCTTCCAGGGAACATATACGAGGAGGTTTCAGATCAGTGAGGCCGAGGAGGGTATTACCAGCCGAAGGAGAGAGGTCTCACGGGGCATTGTGGCGTACAGCTATAATCCCAGCACCTTGGGAGGCCAAGACCAGGAGCATGATCATGAGTATGAGTAGCCTATCTAGGCTACACAGAAACACTCTATCTCTGGGCTGGGAATGTGGCCTAGTGGTAGAGTGCCTGCCTAGCATTCATGAAGCCCTAGGTCGATTCCTCAGTACCACATACACAGAAAAAGCCAGAAGTGGCACTGTGGCTCAAGTAGTAGAGTGCTATCCTTGAGCAAAAAGGAGTTCAGGGACAGCGCCCAGGCCCTGAGTTCAAGTCCCAGGACTGGCAAAAACAAACAAACAAAAACCAGGCTTTTCAAGACATATATCAGTGGTTCACACCTGTCATCCTAGCTACTCAGAAGGCTGAGATCCAAAGATCCCAGTTCAAAGCCAGCTGAGGCAGGAAGTCCATGAGATTCTTACCACCAACGAACCACCTAAAAGCCAGAAGTGGAGATGTGGCTCAAGTGATAGAGTACCAGCCTAGAGTGATAAAAACTTAAGGCACAGTCGGGCACTGGTGGCTCATGTCTGTAATCCTAGCTACTAAGGAGACTGAGACGTGAGGATCACAGTTCAAAGCCAGCCTGGGCAGGAAAGTCCCTGAGACTCTTATCTCCAATAAACCATGAGAAAATCAGAAGTAGCGCTGTGGCTCAAGTGGTAGAGCTGAAGAGCTCAGGGACAGTGCCCAGGCCCAGAGTTCAAGTCCCACGACCAACAAAATAATAAAAAAAATTTTAAATATTTTAAGAATACTTTAGGAGGGACAGCATCCAGGCCCCACGTTTAAGCCCAAGACCGGCACCAAAACAACAAAAAAAAAAAGCGGGGGGGGGGCCGCAGGGAGGAGGCTTTTCTGTGTTAGTCTTTGCTTAAAGGAGCAAGTTGACCCTCAGCCATCATCTATGTTCCTCTTTTCTTTCTGCCCATACGTCCTTTTCTTTGCCTGTACTCTGGCCTCATAACAAATATTGGAAAGAACACAGGAGTCAAGTGAGGGAAATTCTCATCTCAGCGCTGACACGCAAGAGCTGTGTGAACTCACTCTCAGCTCTTAACCTCCAACACAAGTCCCACATCTCTCAAATAAACTCCTCTAGATTTCACTCGCCTGTGCTCAAAGAGGATAATCGCCCTATTTTTTTTTTCTACTAGCTCTTGCCTTGCACGAGAGCATCTTAACCCCCTGTAGACTCCTGACTCCACGTCTTCTCTTACCAATTATGAAGCCTTTCTCATTCATTCAGTTATATAAAATGGGTCTTCTATGTGCCAGGTTGATACTTGGCACTAGGGCTGAAATGGTGAACAAGAACTGTATTCCCTGCCTTGGAGGAAATAAAATCATCTAACAGCCAGGCACTGGTGGCTCGTGCCTGTCATCCTAACTACTCAGGAGGCTGAGATCTGAGGATCAGGGTTCAAAGCCAACCAGGGCAGGAAAGTCCGTGAGACTCTTAGCTCCAAATAACTACCAAAAAGCCCAAAGTGGAACTGTGGCTCAAGTGGCAGACCACCAGCCTTGAGTGAAAAAAAAAAAAAACCTAAGGTATAACAACTCAGGCCCTGAGTTCAAGCCCCAGTACTGCCACCAAAAAAGTAAATAAATAGGGCTGGGAAGATGGCACAGTGGTAGAGTGCTTGCCTTACATGCATGAGGCCCTTGGTTCAAGTCCTCAGCACCACATACCTAGCAAAAAGCCCAAAGTGGAACTGTGGCTCAAGTGGTAGAGCACTAGCCTTGAGCTGAAGAGCTGAGGGACAGTGCCCAGGCCCAGAGTTCAAGCCCCACGACAGACAGAAAAATAATTTTTTAAATAAATAAAATTCACAGCCACAAGGGATGAAGATGATAGGTGATAAAATCACAAGAATGAATGTAGCTTCAAATTCAAGAGCTGTTGTGCAGACCTCTGGTGGCTCATGACTGTAATCCTAGTTACTCTAGAGTTTAAGATCTGAGGATCATGGTTCAAAGCCAGCCTGAACAAGAAAAGTCTCTGACACTACCTCCAATTTACCAGCAAAAAGCCCAATGTAGAGATGTGGCTCAAGTGGTAGAGCACTAGCTTATTTTTAATTTTTTGGTCAGTCCTAGGGCTTGAATTCAGGGCCTGGGCACTGTCCCTGAGCTTCTTTTGCTCAAGGCTAGCGCTCTACCACTTGAACCACAGAGCCACTTGTGGCTTTTTCTCTGTCTGTGGTACTGAGGAATCGAACCCAGGGCTTCATGCATGCTAGGCAAGCGCTCTACCACTGAGCCACCTTCCCAGCCCCAGAGCACTAGATTTGAGCAGCAAAGCTAAAGGAGAGTGTCTAGACACTAAGTTCGACTGCCAGTACTGGCACGCAGATGCACATACACATACACACATACACAACGTATAATTACTGAGAGAAGGGGAGAAATCAGTTCATCTAAATTCCATAGGTTCAGTTCCATTTTGACCACCTCTCTTCTCCCCTTCCAAAACCCTGTGACATTCCAAAGCCTGACACCCCAAACCTCTGAACATCGCCACATGGCTCTCTCTGGCTTTCTACTTCAAAGCCAAGTGCATGTTGAGACTTGGAGACCCAGGAGATTTTTCTTTTTAAGTGTGACACCTTCACTAAGCAAGAGGAAATTGGAGCAGCCCAGCTCCCTTAATGAAGGGAATCTCTTTGATTCTCCAGCTCTTGTTTTAAAAAAAAGAAAAAAAAACAACTAATTGGGGGGCAGAAAAGCAGCTCTTTGTCCAACAGTAGCACTGACTTTCTTTTTTTTTTCCCCCAAATTAGATAACGAACTCTTTGGGAAGCCTGTCATGAAAGGGTCCTTCACTCTCCTTTCCTAGAAGTGTCTGAATAAATGGGTCATCTGCTGTTACAAAGAACAAACACAAGACAGGAGTCGTGTTCCCTGCCCTTGTCCTGCTGTTCTAGTCATAAGCACAGGGGGCCAGGTTGTTTGACTCTAGGCCCGCTATGTGGTCACAGATCTGTCCTTCCCCTTTGTGTCTCACTGTCTCATGTCTTTCGAACCGAGCCACCGGATTTAAAAATAGGGCTAGACATTGTTACTTCTTCTTAACAATCCACCACAATTATAAAAAGCAGGGTTTTTTTTGTAGCAATCCTTTTTCCACAGATGGCAAAGGTGGAAGGACATTGCAAGCAGTATAAGGAATGCATGATTTAGAGCGAGGAGTAGACTTTTTTTTTCTTTTTTGGTCGGTCGTGGGGCTTGAACTCTGGGCCTGGGCGCTGTCCCTCAGCTCTTTAGCTCAAGGCGAGCACTCTACCACTTGAGCTACAGCGCCACTTCCGGTTTTCTGGTGGTTTATTGGAGATAGGAGTTTCACGGTCTCTCCTGCCCGAGCTGGCTTTGAACCGCGATCCTCAGATCTCAGCCTCCTGAGTAGCTAGAATTACAGGCATGAGCCACCAGCGCCCAGCGAGTAGACATTTTTTTATTAGACATTTTCCAAGTCTTTTTTTAAAAAAGTGTTCCTACACCCACATGCGAGCGTCTCCTATTAGAAACTGACTTTTGATTGGCTTAAAAAAAAAGACTGAAAATTATAACATTCTCCCGTGCTAAAAAGAAATGATCAATTCTGTCTTCTTACCCTTTTTGTTGTTGTTTTTTTTCCCCCTGGGGCTTGAACCCAGGGCCTGGGCGCTGTTCCTCAGCTCTACAGCTCAAGGCTAGCGCTCTACACAGCACCACTTCTGGCATTTTCTGCTTATGTGGTGCTGAGGAGTTGAACCCAGGGCCTCACACATGCAAGGCAAGCACTCTACCACTGAGCCACCTTCCCAGCCTGCCTTTTTTTTTTTTAAAGACAGTCCTGGGGCTTGAACTCAGGGCCTGGGCACTGTCTCTGAGCTTCTTTTTTGCTAAAGGCTAGCGCTCTACCACTTGAGCCACATAACCACTTTTGCCTTTTTCTGTTTATGCCGTACTCAGGAATCAAACCCATGCATGCTAGGGGAACACTCTACCACTAAGCCACATTCCCAGCCCTGTCTCCTTATTACTCTTTTACAGCTCATCCATGAACCATTTACAAGCTACAAAAAACTGTTTGTTTTTTTGCAAACCCTAGTAATATTAATATAACCCTAAATACATATGTAACCCCAAGTACATACAGGAAAACAAGTGAATTTCTAGGGCTTGAGACTTTTTTTTTGGTTGAGATATTAATAGTTTCAACCTTTGAAATGAATACCTATTAATAGTTCAAAATTACTCATTGAATAGTTTCCCAAAGTTTCACATTCCATGCCCTGGATAATTATCAAAGCTATGAAGCAAAAAAAAAATCTTAACTCTTGATACAATAGTTCAGATATTCAGAAGAAAGCAGAGCCTGTGGTTTTATGACAGAACTTCAGCTTAAGCTCAGGATCCAAATGTTCCACGTTTAAATAAGCCCTAGCAAGCCTGTCTCTTGTTCCAATTGCTACATCTGAACAGAATCTAACCAGGGCCTACGAAAAGGCGCATGTAGATGAACAGAAAGCCAAACCACTCTGCTATGTAAGTCACCCCACCCCAAAATCATGTTCAAAGGTAATAAAAGCAAAACGTTACCTGATCTTCAGCTCTTCCGTTTCTCAGCGACGCTAAATACTTCCTGAGAGCTTGAAGAGGGTATTTTTTGAAAGAAGAGAATCTGGTGGGAGGTAATAGATTATCCATCGTGAAGAAAGCCGGTGTGTGTGTGTGTGTGTGTGTGTGTGTGTGTGTGTGCGGTTTGTGTGTGTGTGTGTGTGTATGGGGGAGGGGGGCTTCTCTGGGTTAGCAACGAAACGAAAACAGACTTCCCAGTTCTTCACAAGCCTAAAGATTTCATTCCTCTGAGCTCCACCGGTTTCCCCTGGCAAACAAAGCAGATTTCTTGTGTCTGCCTCTTTTGGGGGTAGGAGGGGTGGGGAGAATAGAGTTTCTCCCGAAAGTAGACAAAGAGACTATAAACGATGTCTCAAAGCAGCTTTAAAAAAAAAAAAAATGCAATGCCCGAGGATAGTAAAAGACAGGAAGAAATTAGGAGCTGTTTTCCCAGAATGCAAATTTCCCAAGTGGAAGTGACACGGGCTGTCCTATTTCTAGTGACAGCGTTCTGTTGCAAGCGATGTTAATATTAGAGCCGGTGAACTGCTGGTCTCCAGAGACTCAGGAGCTGTCATTCCCAGTCTTCCGACAGCTTTTCTAGTTGCTTAAAGAGGGCATCACTATGTGGTTTGTGCCCAGTTTCCTTTTAGATTACTTATCCTCACTCAGCTGTGACTTTGCTTCATCCTGTCAACTCATGGGACTCGTCTTTTCTTTTTTTTTCTTTTTCCGGTCATGGGACTTAAACTCAAGGCCTGGGCGCTGTCCCTGAGCTTTTGTGTTCAAGGCTAGCACTCTACTACCCCTTTGAGCCACAGCCCCATTCCTGGTTTTTCTGGTGGTTCATTGGAGATAAGCGGCTCAAAAACTTACCTGCCCAGGCTGGTTTTGAACCAGGATCCTCAGATCTCAGCCTCCCTAGTAGCTAGGATGGCAGGTATGAGCTACTGGCACCCAACTCTCATTCGGCTTTGACAAGCATTATTATTATTAATAATATTAATATTACTTTTCAAGGAAAACTCCAAATAAATAGCAAATTAGCTCACTATTCATGGGTATTCAGGAGTTCAGCACTAGCCCTACAAAGGTTTGTTTGCCTGGCACTTAGCTACATTATACAACATGTCCACTACCCAGATACTTTACATTCATTGAACAATAGCTGGAAACAGATTCTGCTCTGAATTAAAAGGCTTCTCGCTTAGAGTCCTTATCACAAATCCACAGGCTGTAATTCAGAAACATTGAATTTCCTCAGCTTTATTCCAAGTATAAGAGAGAGAATGACACACATGCACTTTCTAACTATTGGGTTGCTTTTTTTTTTTTAAAGGATTTGTGGCATAAATAAAAGAAAGGAGTTTTCAGGCATATAAAAGCATAAATCTCAAAGTTCATTTTCTTAGTGAGCTCTAGAGATTGCATTATTTCTTTTTTTGCTGGTCCAGGGGCTCAAACTCTGGGTTTGGGCTCTGTCTACTGCGCTTGTTTTGCTCAAAGCTAGTACTCTACCCCTTGAGCCACAGTGCCACTTCCGGTCTTCTGGTGGTTTATTGGTGATAAGAGTCTCATGGTCTTTCCTGCCCAGGCTGACTTTGAACCACGATCCTCAGATCTCAGCCTCCTGAGTAGCTAGAATGACAGATATGAGCCACTGGAGCCCAGCAAGATTGTATTATTCCTAAGCTAATTAAACTAACCTACCTTGTTGGTTTTATTATCCTTTTTATTTTTTGTGGTGCTAGTACTGACTAGGACTTGAACTCAGAGCCTCATACTCTTGTTTGGCTTTTCTTTCTTTTTTTATTTTTTGGTTAAAGGTAGTGTTCTGGTTCCAGAAAACCCGAAGTGGCGCTGTGGCTCAAGTGGTAGAGCGCTAGCTTGGAGCTGAAGAGCTGAGAGACAGTGCCCAGGCCCAGAGCTCAAGCCCCATGACCAACAACAACAACAAAAAAAGCTGACGTTCTACTATTTGAACCATACCTCCATTTTCAACTTTTTGCTAATTGATTGGAGACAAGAGTCTCACAGACTTTTCTGCTCCTCCGCTCTACCAGAATCCTCAGATCTCAGCCTCCTAAGTAGCTAGGATTATAATCATGAGGAGCTACCAGCATCCAGCCTTATTATCTTTTTTTTTTTTTTTTTTGCCAGTCCTGGGGCTTGAACTCAGGGCCTGGGCACTGTCCCTGAACTGCTTTTCACTCAAGGCTAGTGCTCTACCACTTGAGCCACAACGCCACTTATTCTGTGTATGTGGTACTGAAGAATCAAACCCAGGGCTTCATGTATGCTGGGTGAGCACTCTACCACTGAGCCACCTTCCCAGCCCCAGCCTTACTCTCTTTTTAAACTTGGAGTAGCTACCTCATTTGAAGGACACATTCAGCCACCTTGCTAAGGCGCTGCCCTGTGGGCATTAAGGTGGGGCAGCAGTCCGAAAGAACATGGCCCAGAGATTTGCTCTAAGTATGAGAGACCAGAGAGCACTGGGAAGAGACAGAGCAGCACTGGGAAGGTGGCTGAGTGGTAGAGTACTCACCTGGCATGCATGAAGCCCTGGGTTCGATTCCTCAGCGACACATACACAGGAAAAAGCCAGAAGTGGCGCTGTGGCTCAAGTAGTAGAGTGCTAGCCTGGAGCAAAAAGAAGCTCAGGGACAGTGAGTGCCCAGGCCCTGAGTTGCATCCCCAGGACTGGCAAGAGAGACAGAGAGAGACAGAGAGAGAGCCCACGCGCAGTGGTTGAGATGCACACAAGGCTGTGTGTAGAGCCTGGGGGCGTGGCCTGAGCTCCCTCTCCCAAAACAGCCTCCCTGGCCCGGCTGGATGGACCACCAGCCTTAGGAAACCTTTACCAGACAGCCCAGAGCAGCCTGTGCCTCCCGCAGCCCAGCCCATCTGTCCGCTGGCATGGGACCCTCCTGCAAGGCGATCTTCCAGACTCCAAGCAATTGGAAGAAGTCATTTCCATCTTGCTGCTGGGTGAGGGCTGGCTCCTAGATCCCTGGGGCTGCCCCCTCTCCCCTCTAGGTTCAGGTTGATATGCACTCAAGAGGTTCTGTAAGTCCTCCCCTCTGTGCTAGGAGAGGGGGTGGAGAGGATGGGGGGGGGACAGCTGACTAATGAGGATCAGAAAGAAGCAGCATGCCTGTGAACCCACTGAATTCTGCAGGCACCCCCCCCACCTTTCAATGCCCCCCATCCCAGGAAAGAAAAAAAAGAAAACCAAACCAAACCCCAAACCCACGCAGCTTTAGAAGCACAGCACAGCTGCTGATCAAAGCCTTTGTCCACAGAGAAACACAAAGCAGACTTCATTTCACACGGTGGTTTCATGATCACCTTTTCCTGGGCTGAGGGCACAGATGAAAAGATATGTGGGGGCGGGGGGTTCCCCCAAACCACCAAAGCAAAATTCTGTACTTTTTTTTTTCCAGTCCTGGGGCTTGAACCCGGGGCCTGGGCGCTGTCCCTGAGCTTCTTTTGCTCAAAGCTAGTGCTCTACCACTTGAGCCACAGCACCACTTTTTCTATGTATGTGGTACTGAGGAATTGAACCCAGGGCTTCATGCATGCTAAGTGAGCACTCTACCACTGAGCCACACTCCCAGTCCAATCCTGTACTTTTCTACTGACCATAATAATGACATGGGGCTGGGAACTTGGCTCAGTAGTAGAGCGCTTGCCTTGCATGCATGAGGCCCTGGGTTCAATTCCTCAGCACCACATTCGCAGAAAAAGCCAGAAGTGGCGCTGTGGCTCAAGTGGTAGGTTAATAGCCTTGAGCCAAAAAAGCTCAGGGGCAGTGCCTAGGCTCTGAGTTCAAGCCCCAGGACTAGCAAAAGAAGGAGAAAAAGAAGAGACACCTATCAGTCTCCAAAAACTAAAATCTGGAACCCTACCTTATCTCCTAATCAGTGTTGAGAACGTCCATCAGGAAAATGGCTCCAGAAGTTTTCTGGGAATTAATCTAGCCCAGAAATAGAGTGAAGAGCAAGCAGCCAGGATAATGGAGAGGCTGTTAGCCCAGAAAACAGAAACCAATTTTTTTTTAACAACAGATTCCACTGAGAAATCTTTCTCATCTTACCCATGTGTTGAGTGTTGTTGAGTCTTTGGCTCATCCAAGGACTGTGTTAAATTCAATCAAATCAGGGAAGAGAGGAAGGGAGTGTGTTTAACCTTGACCATGAAGTCAAGGATATACTATATAAGATTTTACCTTATACCAGGATTAAAGCATTTCTGTCTTTCATGAGACATTTTATTGAGGCCTGCATAAAGATGCCTGATTTTTTTTTTAAATCACATTAGGGTGGGGCACTGGTGGCTCACCCCTGTCATCCTAGCTACTCAGGAGGCCAAGATCTGAGGATCTCAGTTCAAAGCCAGCCCGGCCAGGAAAATCCATGGGACTTTTTTTTTTTTTGTCGGTCATGGGGCCTGAACTCTGGGCCTGAGCACTGTCCCTCAGCTGTTCAGCTCAAGGCGAGCGCTCTACCACTTG